ACGGTTATCGGTGGCTCACAAGAGATTTGTCTGCAATGAGCCATAGATGTTTCAGACCCTATAAATCATCGATGATTCATCGATGGCTCCCACCTATACTCGCCACTCTTTCGATTTATTGGTGCTTTATTGTCGATTTTCGGCAGATCTGGCCACCCACCGTTACGCCACCTATAATCTACTATCGCCACCTATAATCATCGGTGCTCCACCCTTAATTTTTATTTGGGTTGGAAGCTTTTGATGTTGTACATGAAATGACGATATACCCTGATATTCGATTTGTACTTTGTAGATTCGCAGTATTGAACGTGATAAAATACGTATGGTAAATGCTGGTTTACTCATTGATCGATTTTTAATTCCAACATTAAGTAATTAATTTTCAAAATTGTTCAACTACATGTTCTTAGAGAGTTAGCGAAGAGATATTGTTCGATAACATTGATGACATAAAATTACGATTAGTTTCGTTGCCAAAGAAAAGTTTTGAAAATTTCGGTACATGAAGAATGAATTTCATATTGTAGCGGGAAACTACTACATCTAAACACTTAGAGGTCTCTGCCAGCGGGCTCTGCGGTTCGTGGAAGGTTGAAACGACTAAGGACGAAATCAGGAGAATATTTACTGAAGAGATTTGCAGAAATGACTTGAAAACGCAAAATCCAATAACACTTGAAAGGTACATTTGACGAAAATCTTCATGGACACAACTATGGGTATGAAGAAGTGGCTCGCTACTAGAGACAGACTACATCCGACGACAGTTAGTCTAGCACATTTTTCTCGGCAGTCACCTGTAGAGTAGTGCGGCGGCTTCAAATCTAGTACACAAAGCGGGACCAATATCTGGCCCGCTACAATATAATCATAGTGTTGCATTGTAAATGCAATTTTGCAGTTCTAAAAGCAAAGTTGACAATATTCCACCAGTCGTAGCACAAAATCTCTTCGAGATGAAGATTGTGAGATTTATCTCTAAATCTTCTTATCTAGAAAAATTTGTTAAAATTTCGTGCGCACACGGTAACTTTTTCATTTTGAATTAGTATATGTGTCTAATATTCATTGCCACTTTCGTATAATTTGCACAAGGATAGAAAAACAAACGAATTCAAATTATTTTATGGCGCTAACATGATGTGCCTCTATCATCGAACGAACATTTTCCAAGTCATTTTGCGGTTGGGTCCTGAACTAATAGTCTTCGTTTATATAACTCAGCGCGGTTAAGTGATTCAGAGCTATGAAATAGAGTGCCTTTAAAAATATTTTTACGCACTCAATTCGTAAGCAACAATTATGAAACTATATACACTCATTTCAAAGCTCAATGTAGTGTGAAGAGGATATTATTCTAAATTTTGCCATCTTCCGTTTTCGATTAAAACCATAAAACGGGTGAAGGAAATCGCTTTGTAACCCCTGTTTTCCTTAATTTGTAACCTATAATTATGATGTAAATTTAATCGTTTTTACTATTCATTGCACTGAGGCGAACACATTTACATTGTCCCGTTTTCAGTTAGAACGGCAAAACAGTTGAAACGTAACCCAACCTAACCTAAGCCAATTAGGTAAAAATAAAAGAAATTATCCTCGCCACAGCGCATTGGGGCAAGAAAAACTGCATTTAATTTCATAAAAATTGAGTACAAATTGAGGAGCAAAGTCTCACGTTTTACAGTTTTAATTGAAAACGGGAGGAGGTTAAATTGAGAAGACAAGCCTCGCCAACGCGCAATGAGCCCTTAAATGTGTGTATTTAATTGTATAATTATTGGTTACGAGTATTGAATGTGGCGTTTCGAACATGAATGACCCAAGCAGTAGGCAACTCTATCGCTCGTGCTTTTTTATCGAATTATTTCTACAATATAACTGGTGAAATTATCATGAACCGCAGTATTTTTCTCACGAAAAAAATAACATTAAAGAAGAAGAAGAAGCTTCTCTGGAGTATAAATAAAACCTATAAATTTCAATTGATCAAGACATTGCAAGTGAAATGAACGGAAAATAAAAATTCTGCAAGGAGAGGAGCACACATTATGCATCTGTAGGAGGAATTATCAGGTGTAACATCTAAGCTCTGATAAAAGATTAGATAGGCAAGTCTACAAGTTTCAGGTTCTGAGAGGTTATAATTGTAAAATTGAGGAAACGCAAAAATTCGTGTTAGTAGTTGGAATTACTCTAGTTCTAGTACTCATGTTATTATTATTGGAGTTAACTCAATGTTTGCTAAGTTTTTATGGTGACCTTTAAGACAACTCTACACATGGGTTTACCATTCCATAAATGAAAAGAGAAAAAAGTGTATGAATTTTAAAAAATCTAAATTTGTACTGACAGGGGCGAAAAGATAATTTTACCGAGAATAATTGAGAGTCATATTTATCAATGAAATTATTTTATACTGTCAAATTTACTGAAATCCAGCAATCTTATTATCATACACTACACTCATGTGAGTGTAATGTATGAGTGCGTATAATACATGCACTCACGTGAGTGTAGTAGGGTAACATGGGCAAACGGAGTATGGCAGATGTTGGTCAGTGTTCTCTACCGCCGGTCGACAGTTTTACTGGGATGAAGTGTACGGATTTACGTTTTGCTAAGAGTTTGCGTTATTAAGTTATTTGTGAATAACTCTTTTAACCCAGATAAAAAAAATTTTGCTGCTAAATAAAACTGTTTTCGATTACTGTAGATGAAGCTTTTTGAAATTACTGTGAATTATATTTTGAATGTAATATTTATAGGGATAATTTTGAGTTCGAGTTTAGACTTTTAAAATAAAATGTTGACAGGATATAAATTGAAATGATACACAGTGGGGCAACGGGCCCATGCGTGCACCGGGGCACAGCGCCCATGGTGGGCTCATTACCCCTCAGTAAAGTCTTTTGTTATACATCATTAGATTTGTCTTAATGACCTTTCCAATACTATGACTAGCTTTTTGAATTGCAAATTACACTTCATATTGTTTGTTTTTTTATTGCCTCCTCAAGGCAGCAGGTTTAGTTTCTAGTTATGGGTATTTCACCCCTTATCGAGTTATTGACTATTGCCTTGCCAAAAGTTGATTTCAGCCAGCACCAACATTTAGCCAAAAGTTGATGAGTTTTTTGGTGTTGGCTGAAATCACGATTAGATACGAATTCTCTGCACATAATATCTGGATTATGGACGAAACTGGAACGAAGTTTTTTTCTGGGCGCCTTGCCCCCAGGGGTAGGCGGGGTGGGCGCCATGCCCCAAGCCCATGGGCCCATTGCCCCAGGGGTGGGGCAATTGGCCCATTTGGACACTTTTTAATATAAAAAACTAATAAAATAAAAATAGTGTTTAATTCAAATTTGAATAACTCTATAGGCGACTAATTTACATCATACATTCCTCATTAGTTGTACCTTTAAACAAAACAAAGAACCACCTCGCATCAAGTAAAACTTCATCAAAAATTTAGCTTACAAAAAGAGGGGGCCTGCTGCCCCATGTTACCCTATATGAGTGCGAATCATACATACACTCACGTGAGTGTATTATTAGCCATTGTTTTCTAGCACCTCATCATGAGTTCTGCTCGAGGTTTTATCTGTTTATTTATAACTCGCATGCATTCTGGAGGAAGTGTTTAATCTTTACAATTTTTTAGAACTAAAAGAAAAAATTAAACGCTTTTCAAAAATATTATCGCATTTTTGCGAAATATAAAGTACACGGGTATTTGAATATAATTTTAAGTTAATTAAAGAACACGTTGCACAAATTGAATAGATAAGCGGGCACATAGCCTGGATATTTAAATTTAAGCCCACCGGTTTTCAGTTTTCTGCGTACAAATAGTTTTAGCGAAGGTAATAACACTTTCCTTCTTTTAAATATTTATTGAAGGCAGATTCATTATCAAAAGATCAAAAAAGCTTCAATAACAAACTAAACAATATTTTTCTTATCATCCATTCTTATCACTTTCCTATGTTGATAAGAAAGTTTATAGAAGTGAGAATTCAACGCTGCCTCCGTCACTTGCTTGGCCGCAGGAGAAGAGTGAACAACCCTTCAACCCACTAGTGAGTTTCAAACAATTTACAACGTTTATTTTCTTATAATATATCGGAGAAAAGCTGATTTCAAATGTTCAAGAACGTTAGATTAAAATTATTACTTCAGTTAATTTGTTTTTAGTCGATATACAAAATTTTAATTTTCAAAATTTTTTATAGTTATGTTACGTTCCTGATTTACTTATCTTGTTTGGAGATAATTTTGATGGTAGTTCACTGTGCAATGAGCGTCATAATTGATACATTTTTGGTTGAATTTCTAGTAGCGTAGAATTAAATTATATGACGTAATGACAATGATCTTGAATTATTCTTAGTGCAATAAAATAATTCTAAATTATGACGGGATTTTTATCACATTCACTAATGGACAACGTATGGATTTAATTTGAAGCAAGAAATATAATATTAATGCGTATATTAATAAAAAATCTCCATAAATGTCATATATTATGAATTTCTCTGTTTTCGTTAGATGACTGGAAATTACACACTTGTTCTTTTTTTAATTTATTGATGGAGTACTTTAAATCGACGAATCTTTGATATCACTCACTTTTTCGCCTTTTTCATCGCAAAATTACCATTTACGTTATTTAAAATGTTTGAATCATCGTCCAATTTATTTATTATTTCTCATTATCGCTGATTCAAACAAACTCCAATACCTTATTGTATTGGAGAGTTATCTCCAAAGTTGTGACACATGTCATAAGCCATTCTGCTCGTTATAAGTAATATTACAAAGTTAACACGTCACCGATTTTCTCATTCATTTTCGCGCAGAACAAGATGGATTTTGACAACAAGATTGAGGTGGGGATATCTAAGTTGTCCGAAAAGAACGCGATCGTCTACAGGAATATCATTACCATCACCCAGTTCGTGCCCAACATCTTACGGCAAGTCGTGGCGTGGGCGTCGCCTGATAAAGAAGAGACAGAAACTTACGAACAATATATAGAGAGGAAGCTTAACAGACCGCTCACCAAGAATGATTGGAAGCGCCTGATCAACAACAAAGACATGAAGAAAGTGCTAGAAGAAAGCACCAATTCATCTGGCTTCGATGTGGCGCTGCTGTTCAGTCTTATTTGTGCCTTTCATGAAATATCACCGCGGAAGGATAGTAAGGAGGAGCAGGAAGCTTTCGCTTCTTTCAAAGAAGTTAAAGAACTCAGAAATGTGATAATGCACAATACCAGTGACCTAGAAGACCAAGGAAAAGTAGAAGAAATAAAAACAGCTCTTACTCAATTGGTAACCAAGTCCTCAATCACTTACGAGGTTTCTGAATCGGATACAAATAAGGTACTTAAAGATATAAAAAAGAGAATCAAACAGATCCTCACACCAATAGTCATCTCACAATTCGAGGACAACCAGGTCCCGAAAGAAAAGTTAAGAGCCTATGTAATCACTCAGATTTTAATCGAAGGGAAAAGGGCTTGCCGTGACTACTTCAAATGTATTCTTAAGGAGAAACTGTTGTTCGATACTAAAACCTCTCAGTCAACGGATCTTTTCAATGGAATGAAAATCTTCGAGAATCTTGAATTTGTTGAACACAATAAGCCCGAATCATCTAATTCTCAACCCGTAGATTCAAGTCAACTTTTGAGCATGGATGCGCAAGTAGTTATCCTCATTGGAGCAACGGGTTGTGGAAAAACGACATTGCTTAAAAACTTAACTTTACAGTTCTACGAAGCAGCGAAGAACGAGAATTATTTATCACCGTTTCAACTACTAATCTACTACGATTGCTCCGACAGAGCAGCTACTAGCCTGGAGGACGTCGTGGAGCACTGTCTTCGTAAAATGTGTCTCGAACTAAGTGCTTCAGAGATTGTTCAAGGAATCCTAAGCCTGAAGACGTTGTTCCTCGTCAAAGGATGCGATGACCTGAACAGAGACTCGTCTCGTGTACTAGAAGACTTACTTCGGAAAGTCCGGTTTACGGAGTGCAAAATTCTCATATCAACCATTTCACAACAAGTGCCGGAACTTTCATCTCTCGTCAAAAAGTTAGGCCTAAATGAAACTGGTTTCAGAATGAAGCCTATCAAAAACCCAAATGATCAGAAAACATTACTACTGAGCTACTGTGGAACTCAGATTGAGGACAAGAAAAAAGAAGAATTGCTAAAAAAATTTAATGAATTGAATAAGAACGTGCGAGATTGTTTCCAATCGCCGGTGAGTTTGCAGTATCTGTGCCAAGAACTTCTGAAGGATAAACCCAGACTATGTAAAACGACGAAAGTGACCAAGGTTGCCCCAGATCTCTATTTATTATATAGAAAATTACTGGAGTGCAAGTTGCAGCGACAGGGAACTTTCAATTGCAAGGGGCTGAGTGATGATTTGCTCGTGGTCATCGGAGAATTTGCAGTGCAACAAATTCATAGTCGAATGAACACCATTTCGGAGGAACAGCTGTCTAGGCTGGAACGCCTTTGCCGCCAGGAGTTGAAGAACTATGACGCTGCAGGAAGTGTAAGCGCTCACCTGGCTGCTGACATCGTTCTGATACAAAAAGGAAATACCCACTCTTTTCAACATGAGAGCGTTCAAGAATACTTCGCAGCGAAATATATTGTGCGTCGCATGTGTGACACGCCCGACTCTTTGGAATCTATCATGATGTGGCGACCGAATCCCACGAGAAGGTAAATCAAATCTTGTTAAAAACATTCTACCCACTTCCTCTGCGCAGCATGATTTGTTAGCATAAATTCAATACCATTTCTCATGACGGTGAGAAAATTCCTTCAATACACAATTTCAAATTATTCTGTACCCATTTACTTGTGATTCTTACTGTGTGGAAATAAGGGATGAAGTTATGTAACTGATGAACTAAATTTTTTGGCAATAAAGTTTTGAAAAGCTGCCTGTCCTTTGGTAAAAGAAAAAGCGGCCTTCTCTTTGGTTTTCGTGTACCTAGTGTTCCTATATGATACCAGTTGGTTCATTCGAATAACGAATTTGGCTTTCGATATTGAAGTTCAATTCATGTATAAGAAAATGTATCTATCTATAAATTGTAACCTGAACAAGAGGAATAAATTGATCTTTACAAACTTCAATGAACTTACTGAAAGAAGAAAACACTCTTCAAATACTCAACAAATTTCTATCGATATTGTTTGAAATTGAAAATATATGGAAGAAACTTGGATTTTAACTTTTAAATAAAGTGGCCACCTTACCAGCAGCTTCAAGTTTCAGAGCTTGTAGAAACTTGATTGACACGAATTGATTTCCAATAGAAGACACCTGTATACACGCGAAAATTATTAAATTATTTGCGGTTAGTCTCGGCATTGCATTGAATTAGTGCATGATTTCAACAGTTTTTCCAGAATCCGAATTTTGCTTGAGATTTTTCTGAAATTTACCTAAAGTTTGTCTGAATTCATTTATTAAATCTACCTCTATCCCGCATCCAGTCAGCTTGTCATCCAAAATCCCATCCTCCCGTTTCCCGCCATTCCGAAAACCGGTGTTTACGGATCCTGTGATCTTGAATCGCATAAAACGACGAGTTCCATCCCTCATTTATCGTGGAATTCACATTGAACTACCAATTTGAAAGTAGTTCGATGAACTTTTTTGAACTTTGAAACAATTGAAATTTTAACTTTTAAAAAAGTTGAATAAACTTTGCATATACCAAGTTAAAAATCACAATTCCATTTTTGAATAAACAGTCCCACTTCTTCGTTTTGCAAGGCTGTGCTATTCCAACACTGAAAGTAAAAGAAAAATAAAAATATAAATAAAATTCCAGCTAAAATCTCGACATGACGGTTTTTGCAGCAGCGCGCCTAAACAGCCATTATTCATGCCCAGTTTATGGCTTCAAAACAGACAGACTCACACCAAAATTCATATATTTTCACTGTATTAGAAGATTAGCGATGTTAAAACCAAGAGAATGTTTTCGCGGCTTAGCCTCTACTTTAATTATGAACCTGATAACAAATTTTTAAACGAAAATTTCGAGGGAAGAGGCTGTTGCCATCGAGATATGAACTAATTGACATCTGAGTGAAAATATTTTTGGGCGTGTCTTGGTAAAAGGTTTATCCAAATGAGATGTATTCACAATGACCAACTGAAATAGAAAAATAACGTACAGTTAATTTTCATTGGTGTAGTTTGGCAGAAGATTTTCTTTAATGCAGGTTTCATTGAAGACCAGAGAGTATTTCTTATTGACAATTTTCTTATTGTTTTTCTCTATTCGGCGAATTAGGCTCTNCTTTTCAGTTCCTATCAAGAGCCTAATTCGCCGAATAGAGAAAAACAATAAGAAAATTGTCAATAAGAAATACTCTCTGGTCTTCAATGAAACCTGCATTAATTTTCATTGTAAACTATGGCCACTAAATTGCTCATGTTTAGGTATTTAAACAATCTTCCGTATTTTTTCAGCCTAAAGTTGAAAACAGGAGTGGAGGATGATCGACGTTACCTCTTAAAACCGTAAGTTTATAAAATAAAGAGAGAATTATAGAATGCATAGAAAGCTATTGGTGACGAAAGAAAACCTAAATCTGTTTCATATTTATCGGTTCTTTCATTAGCAAAATATGCCGGAAAATCCGACTCCATCTAACGATCCAATCCCAAAAAACAGCGTGATCACAAGCACTAACAGCAAGAAACTCATCCATATTAAGGAATAGTAAAATAAATTTATTGTGAACGCAAGGTTTTAGTCTTACAATTTTTTTTCTGTGTCTACTCTTCGACAAGGTCAAGTTATTGAAAAAGGAATAGATGAAACCGCTAAAAAGTGAACATTTATCCACACTAAAACATGTGGATACAAGTAAAACCCATTTACAAACGCAAATACTAATATAATGTCATGTATATACGCTATATTGCCACAATCGCGGAGAGCGAGTAGCTGAGTGGGATCCTTAGCCATTCAAATTATGGTCAAATTGGTTTCTCTATTTATCGTTTGATAAATTACTTGAATAATTCTCTACATTTTAATTCTTTACTTTATATAATTTAAATATTCAAATTCTTTAGAATCTAGCTCCAGCAACTCCCAGTTTCTTCACACAAATCAAATTCCTAATTTCGGTAGAATGCTCAACGTTCTAGTATGGGTGATCAAGGAGTTGTCTTCTACGGAACACAAGATTTTCCTCGACTATCGCTGGGAGGAACTGCGCCATGCAAGCCATGCAGAGGGCGGGTGCCGGCTATGACAAGTGGACCGAAGTACTGAAGAGCTGCGGGAACAACAAAGAGCTGAAGGAAGCCGCCGTCAAAGAGAGACGTGTAGCATTGTTGCTGGAGAACGGTTCGTGACAAACAGGAATAAGTTGAACCTCAATGGAAAATTAATTTTCTGAATAATTCTAGATGGAAATTTTTAGTACGATCAAATCTCATTAATTCATTCGGAAACGCTCTATCATATAAGTTAGTTGAAATTATTACCACGATTCGATTTTGTGTAAAGTGATTAACGTTTCCGAGCAGCGGAGGATGCAAGAAGAATGGTGAGTTTCCTGAAGAAAGAAGAAATTCAACGCATTCGAGTGAATTTGGACCCAGCTGCAGCACCGCCTGCTGAATGGGGTTCAATCATTGAACACTTCACTGGAGAAATTGAGTTAGATTTCTCTCGAGAAATAAGCTCTCCGTGTGATGCTTATTTATCACATTTCACCAATGCGAAGTAAGTTGAAACGGTTTATACTCATATCCGATTAGATTTGGTAGAATCTCAATTTTGGTGACTAATACGAGTATAGTCTGATTATATGCTTATTAATACTCATGACAAAAATTTTGGTCAAAATAGTTCCATGGAAAATAATCAACCCAAAAATTTCTGATCACAAACTCACAAGACAAGACTAATTTCGTTGATTATCATTGATCATTTAATACACTTTTTATATCATATGTTCACAACAAATGCTATTCCATGGCATTCGCAAAAGTGATCTCTAATTGTATCTGCTTTATTTTGTAGGTGTCAGGTGACATACTTCAACGGTTGCATCCAAGACAAGAAAAACTTGGATATTCTGAATACTGTGACCACCCCTACAAGCAAACTAGTGATCAGGCTCACAGCTCCCATGCCTGTTGACTAGCTGAACAATAAATTAAATCATGCTGACTATGATGCAGATCGTTGCTACTTCTGAAAGAGTTTTCTGCTGAAAATGAATGTGTATCACGTGAATGTGTGACAATCGGTATCATGACTACAAGAAAACTTTCGATTCTTGGTTCCTTGGCATCGTGAAAATAAAATTACATTGAAGAATAAATGATTGGTTTTTCAATTTTTGTTCTGATAAATGAATCAAATTTTTGCATTCGATGTGATTTTTTATTCTAGAAATTTTGAATTTATTCTTTCAACCTTATTTGTTTAAATGTTCATCATGCTGTGCACATTATATATAATTCAAAACAGCGAGTTCTATTGTTACGCTTTCCAAAAAATTACAGAGTTTGAATAGCAATAGGAATTTCATATATGAGAATTCGCAAAGTATTAAATTTTTTCTTGCAATATTTATTGGATGAAAATAAATATAATAAAAGAAATAAAAGAAAAAAGAAAATATTTATTATTTATTAAGAAAAAACACGTGAATACTTTCATTCGTAAATTTTGCTTTATGTGTAATGTGTTTAATTTTATAACCATTGAAAAAACTTAATTGATGTGCGATTCAAAAACCTCAATGTTCATTCTTGTTTAGATTTAAGTCAGTGGTCTCTACCCTTAAGTAATATGGATGTGTGATCTTCTTATGGTATGTTATGGGGAGGCCATTTCATATTTAACTTGGCCATTTACGAGGATTACATAAATGTTCACTTCTCATTATGTCCAGTAACCGATGATTGTTCTACACGGCACATAACCTTGTTACCGCAGACGTTACAATGAGAAATTATAAGTAGTGTATTTCTTAAGTACAAGGGAATTCGGCAAGTAAATAGCCCTCAGCGATAGTGCTATCGACTATGTGTCATAAAATGTTTGAAACAAGCAATGCTTATAGGGAAAATCGTGTTGGCTTCCGCAGCATTTTATAACTTTTTAGTAATCTTAAACTTGAAAATGAAATAAACCATATACTTTTTGAATGCTCCTTGAGTGACTTGATTGAAAGTAGTCTCTAAACCGCTTCCTTGTGTAGGTTATTATTCACTACTTATCATAAATAACAACTAAGCATTGTAGAAAAAAAAACAGCATCTTATAGGATTTTGTTGTATTCCAAGAATGGAACAGATGCTTTGCAATTCGATATATTATGCTTCACATTTAAGTTCAGATTTCGCTATTTCTTTTCATTATTCATTATACAGTCGAAATTAAATTTATTTCTTTATTCTAACTAAGTGATTGTTTTAGATTTATGACGCTGAGACTGCATGTGTTTCCTTCATAATGTAACTGTAAACACGACTCTGATTCATTACCGATACGACGATATATATTTTAACTGTATCATTCCAATGCTAATGATTCTATTGAAATAAATGGAAATTCATCACAACAATGAATACCATGAGCTCAGCATTGCCATATGTGTAGATACCGGCGAAAAATTCGTGAAGGTAACTTGATCGTTAGTATTCAGGGATAGCTAGGGCCAATGATGGAGCAAGGCGATGGATGTATGGATGAGAGTTACGTTGATATGCCGAAGGTTGTCAGTATTAGGCAGCTCCCACTAATCATGTCGAATGCAAACGTGTTCAAAGTTGCAGTGCTGTGATCAGTGGCTATCAACTTCATAATGAACACAT